TCTCTGCCCCCTCTCTCCCCGTCCAGAGATAGAAACAGCTTGATGGTATGTCCTGGGCTTTATTGAGTTTCCTGCATGCTGCCACCTTTTTTCAGCACTTGCTGAGAACTGCAGCTTCCTGGAGCTCTCCATCTCTCCCTCCTCCCCGCTCCCCTTCAAAGTGACCAGTATTTGTGATCTGGAGAGCTAGGCTTTGCTGGGTCCAGTGGCCTCTTGTGGCAGCCTACAGCTCTGCAGCATCAATTCTACAAGGTAAAATTAAACTTGGCACAGAACATAATTCTGCATGGTGCAGTAGTGCATAATTTGCCCATGAGTACTGTATCCAGAAGCACAGGCATGGTTCATAGCTAATTTAAATCCTTGATTTAAGTGTTCTGGCACTCATGGTCTCCAAAAGTCAGGGTAGTCTAGTTTGCCTTAAGATAAAGATATCTTTAGACTATATATTGGGATTTTCTTTATGCTGGCTGCCAGGTTGTCATATCTACTCTTGTCTGATATAGGTTAGAAAACAGTGTCTTTCCACTACTGTTTTTTTCACAAATAGTATGATATTTAGTATTTTCTTTGAACAATAGTTGTCGAGTGATAAATTGAAAATCTTTTTTATAATTTAAAAAAGTTAGCTTTCAAGCTTGTGTAGAAACTTGAAAACTTGGATCCTCAAGTCTGGGGGGGGGAGGGGGGGAGAGAAAGCAAATAACCCCTGCAAACAGTTTTGACTCTTCAGTATCTCATCCAGATTTTTTGAAAGCTTATGATTGGCAAATATTGCAGATGATGCCTACCGGTTGCAGTATGCCAGGTACTCTGCCTATGACTCTTTGTACTGACGCTGAGCTTGCTATGTCAACTGCTGCTAATTGTATTTATGTAATAGCAGTTCTTAAATTTTTTGAAAATCTTTGTAGACTTGAATGATCAAGTTCCTCAATGTTTAGGCACCAAATAAATGGCTTGATTATCAGCAGATATCAGAGTTGTGGGTACTTGACAACACTTTCCATCCTTGAGCAGAGTGAGTTTGGTCTTGTGTACCAATGTTGAGGTAATTTGCACTTGTTCAGATTTGTGCCACAAAGGTTCTTATTTAAACATGAGTCTTTTTACTTCTGTGAAAATGACATTTTAATACATTTTATTAGCTTCTATTCAGTATGAAACAATTTTCATCCTATCTTACTGAGTTCATTACATATTTTCCTTAATATGGGTGTTTTTCATTAAAGTTCATTTGAAGAATATAGCTCTTAGAAAATTTCACAGTTTAGGAAATATAAAACAAAGAAAAGAACTTTAATCCAAGCCCCAACGTGTCGCACAAATTGCAAGTTTCAGTTTCCTTGCCTCTGTAGGGGGCTTACTTCAATTCTTGTCACTATCAAAATGTTCACAGGAGATCTACAATATGGTCTAGAAATTTACCTTTAGTGCTTTGCATTTTACATAATAGTTATATAAAACAAATATACAACCATCCCCCCACGGTGATCCAAAAACTCCTCAGATACAATATAAAAATAGGGGGATCAAGAGTTCAGCCTATATAAAACTTTACATAAACCTTCTTGTTCTATCTGGGCATTTGGGTGCTGAAAGTCTGTTGAACTGAGTCTTCCCAGAGCTGATGAGTGAACCATTTAAAAGGCTACACTATTACATCCCTAGCTCCAAGCACCTGAATCTGTCACCTGCATCTACTGGCAGAATTCAATGGTAACAAGAGTCAAGATTGAAAAGTTGAAGGGAAAGTGTTTGAAGTTGTTTGGTAAATTGCTTAATGGCTAGTGAACATTCAGGATAGAGAGTTGCTTTTGTAAAGATTCACCCTTTCATCTGATAAAGGTGTTAATTGTCACAGCTATCCATGATCTTCTAAACCCTTCCATAGATATCAGATGAATGTTTCTAAAAATACTCTAACAGTAGAACCCCTATACACTAAGTTAAGGAGTGGTAGAGAATGTCCTACAGAGTTAAAAGGTAATCTGCCAAAAAAGTTTAAATATTGTCCATCTTTCTCTATAAAGTGAGAGCTCTACAGTTAGATGAAGATGCAACTTCTATATAATTCAGATCAAAGAGAGAGAAACACTACCTTTCAGTCAAGCAGTGTTACATCTTTTGAATTGAGCTGTTTTTAAATATATTAGATCCCTTCTTATCCAAGTTGGGGAGAGGGAGTGGAGATGAACCCTTATCTGGGATTCCATTTCCCAAATTCTCTCTAGCTGGGTTGGATGCTGGTTTACTCTGAGAGCCCAGCCCTTAGGGCCACAGCATAGCACTGCGTACACCCTGGCACACAAGATAGCTACATATTTTATTCTTGCAAAGGACTTAGGCTCAATGGCTGCAGGTCGTTACGGATGTCTGTTCCAGTCCCATGTCTCCCAAATGTCAAAATATCCCAATTACTGGCAAGCAGACGGCTACACAAAAAGTATATTTTCTTGATCAATAGGTGAACAGGAAGGGGTACCCCAAGCCTGGAGCATCTCAGTGGCAGAACAGACCCCCCCCCCGGGGTTCATTGGCAATTTGCGCTGCAGCTGAATGTCCCATTAGCTCCCCAGAGATCTCTCTCCAGGCTCAGTGTCCCCCATAGGCCGTGGCAGGCCCTGTGTCCCTTCTGGCTCAGTCTCTGGCACAAGTTGCTGCACTGGACCCCATTCTTTTTTCTCCCTGCCAGGTGCTGCTGTTGCTGCTGGGCCCTGGCTTTTCTGTCCATGCCTGCCGGCCCCTTGCCACTTCCCAGCTGCTGCCTGCCCGTGTTTCTTGCCCTTGTTCGCGGCTGCCTCGGCATCCTCCTTTTTTTAACAGCATGGGTCATGTTGATTGGTGGCTTCTTGCTGCTCAGGCCTCGCAGCAGTTCCAGCTGCCGTCTCCTCTTGGCTACCAGGTCACTGGGCAGCAGTTCAAAGTGCCACTTTTTGCTGCCCCAGGGCAGAAGTGCAGCACACTCCTCAGGGAGTCAGGGCTGGAAATGGCCGAGGAGATGGAGAAATAGGCAGGCCGCCATGTGGCCCACAACCCCAGTCCTGGGGAATAACTTGAAGCTAGGGCTAAGCCACCAGCCATATGGCCCCACTCTGGAGTAGCTGCTGAGGAGGTGGACAGGTCTCAAATTTTTGGTGCACGCCCGTGCAGGCATGCACCTTAGGGAGCCCTGCTTGAAACCTCTGAAAATCAGGGCAACTTCTTCAAATACATAAAATGGATTTGTAAACCTAACTTTAGACACACATGTTTGAAAGCATTGGCCTGTTTGGTTAAGTTGCTGTAGATTTAGCTGGTCACTTCTCAGCAGTGAGTTGGAGTTTTGCCTCTTTATTCTTGACAGGAGAAAATTTGACAAAAATGTAACTTTTCATATAAGGCTTTATTTCCTACAGTCCTGTGCTGATTAATGCTGCTCATCAAAAAAGAATGGTCATTGATTTGACAGATGTATCTATCTGTTTCACTCTGAGTAAGGCAAAAAATAGCTGAAGAGTTTTATATAAGCTTCTGGGAAGCAGCTTTTGTTACACTAACAGAAACCCTGGGAATCTGTCTGTCTGATCATCAAATATTCCCTTGTAGGCTTGAATGGAGAGAGGAAGAGGTTGTTGGCCAAAAGCCATGATGTTCATGTTGCTCTACAAGTAAATAATTCCTACAGTGTAACAGATCATCTGCCGGAAACATTGCACTTACAGCCAGATGGCTTTGGCTTTGCTGTTCAGTACGTAAAAATGACCATACTGCATAGACCAAAGATCCATTTAGTTCTTCCAACAGCAGCTGGTGCCACATGATTCAGAGGGAATGAATAGACAGGGCAATTTACTGAGGGATCATCCCCTGTTGTCCAGTGCCTTTTTTCTGGCAGTTGAAGGGAGTTGGGAAAGACAGAGCATAGTGTTGTGTGCCTGACCATCTTGGCTAATAGATCCATTGATGGCTGTCTTATGTGAACTTACCTAATTGTTTTTGAACCTAGTTTATACTTTTGGCCTTCACAACATCCCCTAGCAATGAGTTGCATGGGTTGACTGACTGCCAGATGTGAAGAAGTGATTTCTTATGTTGGTTTTAAACCTATTGCCTATTAATTTAATTTGGTGACTCCTGCTGCTTGTTTTATGCCTTCATTTCTTCATACCACTCACGATGCATTAAGATTTTAACGAACATAATGTTAGAAAATAATGCTGATGAGCTTTCAGAAATACATACTTTAGAGTTCTGTATGTAAGCTGTTTTAGAGCACACCCTTTGTTTAAAAAACAAACCTTAACATTATCACTTAAATGATTTTGAAATTTGACTTGTAAAGCTGCCTGATAGCAGGTGTTTAAGGAGAACTTAATTTTTCCTCTGGCCTCTACACATGATAGTCAATTTAATGTTTCAGATTTTAATAAAACATCAACATTTTTTGTCAAAGATTCATCTGCTTTGTGTGTGTGTGTGTGTGTGTGTGTGTGTGTGTACACACTCTTGTAGAATACTTAAATGCCTTAATCCGAAGTATTGCGGTTTTGCCCTTTCCATAGATTGTGGGGCAAAACTGACATTTTGTTTGTTCAGTTACTGGTGTTAGGGTTTTGTAGAGATATCTGATCACTGTGCTTTCTTTGCAGCTTAGTTCAGGGGTATTGTAAGCCACTTGCAGTTGTTTTAAATCTACATGTATTAATAGATTTTTACAGTCAGAAGGTTCTGTGAGAATATTTAGTCAAGCTACCTAATAACTTTTACATTATGTAATAAACACTTGCATAGATTCTCCGATCAATAGATCAAAAGAGCCTTAAGCATTAACAATGAAGCATGATAGGATAAAACTAGAACTGTTTTGAAACAACATTTAGCACATGCTGCAGTACTTACAAGATGTACAATACTGGACTGCTTGCATTGTGGTCATTTCAATATATACAAATGTTGGCCTGTGCTAAATTTTAAATAGTCTTGGTTTTCAAATATGGCTTTTCTTCATTCTTTGCTAGGTGACAAGGCTCTGGATGGTTACAGTAAGAAAAAGTATGTCTGCAAGCTACTCTTCATCTTCCTCCTGGGGCATGACATTGACTTTGGCCACATGGAGGCTGTAAATCTACTGAGTTCTAACAGATACACAGAGAAACAAATTGTAAGTAATCTTTCAACTCTGAAGAAGGAAATATCTATGAAATGTCACACTATCTTGTGTTACCTTAAATGAATAGTCTTTTTTTTTTTCCCCCATTGCTTTCTTTCTGCATAGTCTTAGCATGGTTTTAGCTGGGCTGCAGAGTAGCTTTTAGGTGTACAGATGAGTCCTTTACTTGTTTGGTTAAGTAACTTGAAGAATTTTGTTGCCTTTTTTAACCTCTAAAATAAATGCTGCACTAACTGCAACAGAAGTCATGTCACATTTTTAATGTAACAGTACCAAGGTGCGCACACTCCATTATACAAGCTAAGTAGAACATTTAGACATGTTATGGAATCCCACTCTGGAAAAAACCTATGTGAAGGATAACTGACAGGGTACAATCCAAGCTTAAAAAAATTCAGATACTTGAGATCTCTATTAAACCCAACATTTGGGGCTGGTGAGGCGGAAGTAAGAATGAGTTTAGTTAAGTGTCAGAATTGAAAAGATATACTCTGCTTTTTTATATATAAGGTGGTTGCATAACTGTCTGGATAACCATTTTCAGAGAGCAGTTAACGGTTCACAATCAAGCTGGAAGGGCATAATAAGTGGGGTACTTCAGGTCTGTTTTGGGACCGGTTCTGTTTAGGGATGTTAAAGGCTAGTAGATATCCTCCCCTCCTCCCCCTTTGCTGCCTCTAAGTGGTAGCGCCGCACAGCCCAAAGGGCAGCACTACCCTGGAACCCGGGATCAGCTGGGGGAGTCCTGTGCATTTCAAAGCAGGCACACTGCGTTCAGCCCAGAGTCAGCAGACTTCCCAGGAGGGGCTCTTATACATTTCAAAGGAGGAATGCAGAAGTGCATATTGACTAGTTGATTGAAATTCCGTAGACTAGTCAATTAACTGCATTTTAAAATTCTTAGTTCGGTTCAATCTCTTCATCGATTTAGATATTGGCATAGACAGGGCTCGACAAATAATACAATCTTCTCACCCACGGCAAGTGGATTGCAACCCAGAAGAGCCAGGTTTGGGCAATCTGCGCATGCACAGAATCATCTGTGCATGCGCAGATCGCTGGACAGCACGGTTGGCGAGCGGGGCTCGCTGCGGTTCGGCGAGGCCTGGGCCTAGAGTACACTTACTAAGTTGGCAGATGATACTAAGCTGGGAGGGTTTGCACGTGCTTTGGAGGATAGGGTCATAATTCAAAATGATCTGGAGAAATTGTCTGAGGTAAATAGGATGAAGCTTAATAAAGACAAATGCTAAGTACTCCACTTAGGAAGGAACAATCAGTTTCACACAAACAGAATAGGAAGCAACCCTAACCCTAACCCTATTCTGTCTAGGAAGGAGTTCTGCAGTAAGTGATCTGGGGTCATAGTGGACCACATGCAACAGTGTCACACCGTTGACTCATTTAGCAAAACACACAAAGATGATTCTGGGATGCATTAACAGGAGTGTTCTGTCAAGACACTAGAAGTGATTCTTCTGCCCTGCTCTACACTGATTAGGTCTCAATTTGGAGTATTGTGTCCTGTTGTGGGCACCATATTTCAAGAAAGATGTGGAGAAGGTCCAAAGAAGAGCAACCAAAAATGATTAAAGCTCTAGAGAACATGAGCCATGAGGGAAGATTGAAAGAATTGTTCTTCTTGGCTGTGTCTAGACTGGACACTTTTTCCAGAAAAGCAGCCGCTTTTCTGGAAAAACTTGCCAGCTGTCTACACTGGCCGCTTGAATTTCTGCAAAAGCACTGACGATCTCATGTAAGGTTGTCGGTGCTTTTGCGGAAATACTATGCTGCTCCCGTTCAGGCACAAGTCTTTTTCCGAAAAACTTTGCTGTCTACACTGGCCCTTTTGCACAAGAGATTTGTTTTCCGCAAAAAAGCCCCGATCACGAAAATGGCGATCGGGGCTTTTTTGCGGAAAAGCGCATCTAGGTTGGCCACAGACGCTTTTCTGCAAAAAGTGCTTTTGCGGAAAAGCGTCCTGCCAATCTAGACGCGCTTTTCTGAAAATGCTTTTAACGGAAAACTTTTCCGTTACAAGCATTTCTGGAAAATCATGCCAGTGTAGACATAACCCCTGAGTAATAATTTACAATAGTGTAAAGTGAATGTGAGTACTACTAGTATGATATAGGAGCTTTTTTACATGATTTGCACATTCCAATAGAACAAGAAGGAATGGGCTTCAGCTGCAGCAAGGGAGGTTTAGGTTGGACATTAGGAAAAACAACCTAACTGTCAGGGTTAAACACTAGAATAAATTGCATAGGGAAGTTATGGAATCTCCATGTCTGCAGATATTTAAGAGCAGGTTAGATAGATAGATACCTTTATCAGGAATGGTCTAGAGCAGGGCTACTCAACATGCAGCCTGTTTGTGTGTGGTCCATTGTGCGTTTTGGGTTTACCCAGGGCTCAACAGGCAGCCTGCGGGTGAAATCCTTTGAACATGGCCTCCACTGGGAACAATCTGATCAGCTTGTTGAAACTGATCAGCAGCTGCTTCCAGGAAGCCTTATAATGGGCTTCTGTTGATACGTGTTTTAGTAGTTAAATTCCTGGACTGTCATTGCTCATTAAAAGTTCTGTCATATTTGTGGAAATGGGATAAATATTGCGTTTTATTAATATCAGCAGAACTGACTTAAATGGGGCCTGCGTGTTGTGTAGTCTTGCCTTAGTCTTTGTATTCATGCCCACCAGCGTGAGAGAAGCTATTTGCATACATATTTGCATGTGTACAGGCAGTCCCCGGGTTACGTATAAGATAGGGACTGTAGGTTTATTCTTAAGTTGAATCTGTATGTAAGTCGGAACTGGCGTCCAGATTCAGCCGCTG